TGTATCTCTTAGAATTTAAATAAATAAAGCGTCATGTCACTTACGTAAGTTACCCAACATCACAATCGGCGTGATTCATGGTAAAAATTTTTATTTTTCTGACCTAAATATCGGGTAACAGCAATTCTGACCCTTCAATCTTAAACTTTTAATAAACTTGCTGTCGTATTCGTTATATGTGTGTACATTGTATGTGTGATCGTTTATCCTTTGATGAATTTGAATTAGACCTTGCAGTTTGTGCTCGGTAAATATGCAGTTTGTGCCTCGGTAAATATGCAGTTTGTGCCTTGGTAAATATGCAGTTTGTGCCTCGGTAAATATGCAGTTTGTGCCTCGGTAAATATGCAGTTTGTGCCTCGGTAAATATGCAGTTTGTGCCTCGGTAAATTTGCAGTTTGTGCCTTGGTAAATATGCAGTTTGTGCCTCGGTAAATATGCAGTTTGTGCCTCGGTAAATATGCAGTTTGTGCTCGGTAAATATGCAGTTTGTGCTCGGTAAATATGCAGTTTTATTCCATTTTGTGTCACCGCATGAGATTGTGTCACTCGGTGCTGTTCTCATCGCCTTGCGCCGCCACTGGTTGTTTGTACAGTAAAAGTCCTACATTTCAGAGGACAGCTTTCACGTATTCTTTCAAAGAATGCTATGCAAACACATGAGGTTTAAATTATGTTGTACGATAAATTTCTGTTTAATGTATTTTAAATACGAACATAAAAAGCTTATTTTTGGTAAGTTTTGATAAAGAGGAAGTTTCAATGCATCGTCCTCTGAATTGTAACGCTAACAAGTTTCCCATGTGTAAAAAAAAATTGAAAGCAATAGCAATAAACAGTCGAGCCAAAGTATCGTATCAACGAATCTGTATGCGCTTAACATGTCAAAGGATCTACATATAAGACATAAACCTGTTCCATATCGTATCCGGAAATTTGATCGAAAGAAATTTCGTCGACGGTAAATTGATCGACGGTAGTTTGATCGAACGGAAATTTGGTGGAAACTTTTTTCAGTTTTTACGTTAAAACTTTTGCTTAAAATTTCTGTTGGAACGCATTATTGTGTTTAGCAATAGAATATAGTGCGTTGAACAAGAAATTCGACGCAAATTTTAACTAAAAGGTTTTAACTAAAATCCCTTTCCATTTTTCTGTTATTCTTTACTTTGCCTAAGCCCTGGCATGCATTAATTCTAAATCCTAAAGATATTTGTCGAAGTGTGAAAAACAAAAGACTATATACAATTTGAAATATAATTTATTAAATGCCTGGATTTTAAATTTTACCTGTTATAAATGTATTCACTTTGTCATTTCAAATAGGCGAATACCACCATAACGTATTTTGCATCCTTATTTACAACAAGATAATTTTAAATTTATTTCGCAATCTTAACAACGCATTCAAGACGCACTAAAATCGACATATTCTTGGGTCTTGCCTTTAAATGTTATTACAGTGTATTCTTAGATCATGTTTGTCTTCTTTTTACTTTTTTCAATTCGAGTTTAAAATGCTTAAATAATTCCTTTATTGGTAGTTAAAATGTATTTGTAATTAATAATAGTAATAATTTTTTTCAAAAAATAAAATAAATCGGACAGATAATTTGCGCATTTAAATGTATTCAATTTTTATAAAATAATAGGAAAAATCTTTCATTTTTTTTAAGAATCCAAACCTATTGAAATCGCTTCATTTCTTTGGCAATTTTATTAGCTTAACTCATTCTTAAAAAATGCTAGAAAAACCACTCGATGTCATCGGAATGATAATGGCATGAACTTTTCTATTGTGAAAATTGTGAAAAGGTAATCTTAAATGTAAATGATCAACTGTATATAATATTTTACATATATTTTATTTTTACGTAACTTGATAAACTAATATATTTATCCACAAGAGAGACCACCGATACAAGCAAATGAAGAAAAATGGCTCGGTTGTATTGAGAGAGGTGGTACTGAGGCTCCGTCGAACGATCCAACGCTTACTGCGCAGATCTTACTGGATCTACCTGGACGGCATTTTCTCAGAGGAAGACACTTTGACCAATAGTTTTAAGAACAACCCTTCTGGGGCTATATGAAGCACCAAAAGTCCTCAAACGATGGAGTGTTTCCCTTGAGGTGTGATGGCCATATGTCATCTAACTTAAAAGCACAGGCTGACATATTCACTCAGCAGTTCCAGTTGGTCTTTGGTGACGGTAAAGTGTGGTCGAATTCTGAGTTCCTTTTGAAGACCAACATGATGAACAGATCCTACTCCTACATGGAGTATATCCAGATTTCAGTACAGGGTGTGCTTTCCCTCCTCAAAAACATTAAACCCTAGAAAGCATGTCGTCCCGACATCAACACACCACGAGAAATATCTTCTGCAATGACAATCCTCTTCCAATCCTTGTTGCGCATAGGCAATGTTCCAGCAGACTGGAGAAAAGCGCATTTCACTCCAATCTACAAGAAAGAGGAGCATTCCGACGCAGACAACTATCGTCCGATATCTCTCAGGAGCATGATATGCAAATTTTTTGAGCACATAATCATAAGCGCAGTTATGAAGCATCCTGAAATCTAAAATATATTCAATGACTGTCAACATGGCTTCCGGGACAATATATTATGAAGACCCAGCTCCTTGAAGTTGTAGAAGACGTGATGACCAATCTGGAGCACAGCAAGCAGACTGACTTGCTGATGATCAACTTTTCAAAGACATTTTAAAGTTATAAACATAGTTTGTTTTTACAGAAACTTCAGATATATTGGATCCAATGCGCTACTAAAACCAGTATATCTAGCTTCCTTAGCACCAATCAAAGAGATAGTGGTGGAAGAAAAAGCTCCTCATTTTTCGGTGTTAAGTCAGAGGTCCACCAGGGATCAGTGCTGGGCCCTTGTTTGCTCTAACCATACATTAATGCTCTACCCGAGAAACTGACATGCCAAGCAAGACTGTTCGCAGAGGGCACAGCGGTGTAAAGGGTGCTCGCCAACAGATCTGACCAGGACCAGCTACAAAAGGATCTCAATCGATAACCAGCATGCATTAAAATTTTTATTTATTTTTTTTAAATTTTAAAACTTGTTAATTTATTTATACAGATAATACAAGGAAAAAAAGAATTTATTTTTACCAAATTTCGTCTAGATCTATCCATTTAGTATAATATTTTTTTAAATGCTTGCATAAGAAAAAAAGGCTTATCTTACGTATTTTAAAGAATTATTATTTCAGGATGGATAACGAACAATCTTTCTTTTACCCAACTAATGCATTATAATCGATTGAAGACGAGGGCACATTTACCCAAATTTAGATATAATTATTTTGAAAGAAACCAATACTTTAATAGGGATAATGACATGTGTTTTAGCAAGTTGGGTTTAGATACGAATAAACAAAAAATAGTTAGAAGCTTTCATTGTAAGTATTGTCATTCAATTCTGGCTGCTACTAGGAAAGTAAAATTTTAAATCTCTTATACAGATTTGGAGCTTTAATTCTAATTTCGAACTACTGAGGAAAAAGAGGGACACAAGAAACATAAAAAGAAAATCTTTAACGTTAACAAGGCAAATCAATGCTTGTTGTCAGTAAAAAAAAAATATATATTCAACGTTCTTCTTTTGTTTTGACTTGAAGAAACTTTTACTGATTGAAAAACATTCCTATTTTTATATAAAGTTTAGCTCTACTGTGGTCTAAACTTGTTTTTGAGACATTTGAGACACTGCTGTCCTAATGGCATGCACCCTAACACTCAGAGGCGAATTTTTTAAAAAAATGATGAATTAATGCTCTTTAACAAAAAATTACGATAGTCCCTATATACAAACATCTAATATAAACAAATAAAGTTATTAGCAGAACACCCATGAATCATCCTATGCTAACATAAAAATCTTATCATTAACACAATAATTTCATTTGAAAAATAGCACATTTGAATTATTACATAATCAGGGGCGTGCATAAGTGTGCTTTTTGGTACCTAGGGGTAATATTAGGCACGACCTTAAAATGCATCACTTGCAACAATAAATCCATTAAAGGCATATAACCGATCTGGAAGAGGATAAAAATCAGATTTTTTTTTTTTTTTTTTTTTTTTTTTTTTAAATTTTAAAAATTAAAACTTATGTAAAGAAAAACAAATAAAGAACTTGGATCTTCTGATTTTGACATCTCTCATTTTAAAAATCTTTTTTTTTTCTATCCTCCCAAACTCAGAAACACATAAAAAATATTTCATTAATTCTTGATTATTTCCAACGACAATGACACAGTAGATTCATTACTTACATAAGGATTTCCATCTACATTCCTGAAATATGTAAGACAAGTGTAGCTACACAAATTTGGAAAAAAAAAATCAGACATTAAAGTCTTTGTGTTTATTTTTTTTTATAGTTTTAATAGTAATTAACGGAAATTGAAAATATTTAACACACACATTCCTCTATGACTCAAAGTTAAAGCTCCTAGCTGGCACTGATTTCTCTAAATAAAATTCCCGATAACTGCGTTACATGAGTGTCTTAAAAGTTCGTCGAGCGCGTTTGATGCGTAATGTTTTCTTTTGTTTGACGGAAATAGTCTCAAAGTAAATAATTGTGTTTTCAATCTATGGCATGTCATCGGGTGCAACATTAGAATATTACCATCGTTCAGGGACTAGATAAAAGTGTCCGAGGTAGAGCCTGGTGAGGGGAGCACACATTTAGGATTTTTATTAAGTGGGTTACAAGTCGGTTTTTGTTTAATTAACTTCATCGGATTGATCGTTTACGCATTGTCGGCTTAACATTTGAGCTATTATAGCTAGGAAAAAAAAACATAAAATAAAAATAAATACAAACAATTGAATCAGAGAGGAAGCTTTTTATTTTTAAAAAAAATGTTACCTTATTTTTTACACTACTTCATCTAGAATGTATTAAATCATTAACTTTGAAAAAATTATATTTTAAAAAAGCAAAAAATCAATGGTAATTTCACATCACAAGAGAATCAACAAAGTAAATATATGTAAATCAGTTGGAAATGTCATTTTATTTATGGATAGGTAAAGATTTTTTTTGGATTAAATCTGTTTTTAAATTATTGTTTAAAATTTAGTTACACGGAAAAATGGACACATTGTTCTTCAATATACATGAACAGACTGACATTTTTAGCGTACTTCAATATAAATGAACAGACAGTGATTTTTTAGCGTACTTCAATATACATGAAAAGACTGTGATTTTTAGCGTTACAATAACGTTCATATCAGTTTAGATTTTTTAAAATTAGAGATTGGGATTGATAAGACATTTAAATATCTTTATTTTATGCTTAAAAAATTTTGTGAACATTAATTTAAAAAATAAAAATAAAATGTATAATTTATCCAATTCTTTAGACTATTTATTATCTGACTTGTTCGTTGAAGTTATATACTTTCGAGTCCGAGATTCGTCCATAACCTGGCTTGATCAGCATGGGTATTATAAAACATCGTCATACAGATGGACTTCATTTTCAGCTGAGTAAACATAAACAACGAATTAAAACAAATATTTACGTTTATTAGAATTATGCAACAGCTTTTATGTCATAAATATAAATGTGTCATTCTCCCTTTCCAAAACACATGCTTTATAGGTGGACCTCACTGAAAAATAGAACCCCTAGGTGGACCTCACTGAAAAACAGAACCCCTAGGCTCTCTTTATTCTATAAACACGTTTTAAGTAAAGTATAACATCAAACGTAACGTTTGTTTATTAAAAAAAGAATGCTATCTTAAATTTATTCCAGTGGAGTTCTTAAAGGAACAAGAAAGTTGTATGATTATTTGAAAAATATGGGCAAAACTTCAAGATACAAACAAATAAAGTTATATTCTAAAGATGTAGCAGTAGTTAACATAATAACTCAATCATCATTACAGAATAGTCGTATGCTTTATCTGAGATTAATTAAAAATCTATTAAATATAAATATAACTTAAGTAGGCTAATGATTTTTAAGAAAAAAAATGATCTTGAATTTTTATATTTTTGTGTTGTAGATTTTGTTATGACTCAATTCGCGTAACGAAATGCACTGTTATTTTCTTATGAAGTAGTGAAACAGGGTGTGTTTAGGCTGGATTCAAAATACGGAACAATATGATTTCAAAATGTAGGCTTAAAGTCTTCTTCAGCGAAGTCTTGTTCAGCGAACAGGACAAATAGAAGTAAAACTAGAGCCATGGAAAACAATGTACAATGCACTCCTTCACTTCGTATCTGTTTGCTATTTTCTTACTTCGTGTCCTTTGAAAAAAAAATCTTTTGAATACATAAAAAATTAGAAATAATGATTTAGCTTCTTAAAGAACATATTTAGTAGTTGCATTAACTAATATACTTATAAAGATGATTTCATGTTAGAATGGAGAATATTCTTCCTGGTATGGCTTATAAAAATATAGGCCATAGTTGAATTAGAGCGGTCAATAGGATAGGGTAAAAAAATAAAAAATATTGTGAACGAACAACAGAACAATAAACGTGTTGACAAGAAGCGCCCCTAAGTGAACAGAATAAACACCAATTAGCAACAAACAAAAAAGAAGAAACAATATTTTCAAGAACTAAGGTAAAATGTTTGAAAGAGTTTGAAATCGACTGAGCAAATACATTAAAGTGTTTCCCTTAAACCTTTAATTAATTAGCTGCCAAAAGGTGTCGTGTGATAAAATCGTGTTTTGAAGTTCAAATGTTTATGGGTCAACTATTTGTATATGGATGTAGGACACATAATTTTTTTTTTTTTTTTAAATTTTATTTTACGTTATTATCAAACTGAAAAGTATATATATCTAATTTGATATTTATATTCACCAAGGTTTACAATTTCATTACATTTAAATTTAGAAGAATAATACAGATATACATGAATTTTGATCCTATTATTAATTTTTTTCCTAATATACCTTACAAGAGATAACAGACTTAAAACTATACATCTAAAAGTTGGCTACCAAATTGTTTTTTTGAATCAATATAATTGATTTTATTTCATTTTCCTCGAAGAAACCCGCATGTAAGTTCCCATGTGTCCAAGAGTGCTATTCAACAAGTGGAATTAAAGATGCATTTATTGCACTTGACACTTATTATTAACACGTTTCATTGACTACAAATAACAACAACACATAAAGGAAATATCATACCATTTTGAATGCTGACATTTGGTTCGTCAACCCTCTGGGATGTAGAAGCTGGTGTTACTTCATTTATACACCAGGGTGTAATGTTGGCTGTTTCATATGCGTGAAACTCTGTGTTGATATAAGGCGTTGCTATAAAAATAAATGCATCTACAATTTATATACATATATATTTATATTTATGTATTTATATATATATATATATATATATATATATATATATATATATATACATGTTTATATATATATATATATAAATTATGTATATATATATATATATATATATATATATATGTGTTTATATAAGAAGTTTATATAAAAATATATATATATACAATATATATATATATATATTTATATATATATATATATATATATATATATATATATATATATATATATATATACACGTTTATATATACATATATATAAATTATGTAAACGTATATATATATATATATATATATATAGCATGTATATGTACATAAGCATATTTATATAAAACATGTATATATATATATGCCATATAGAGGAATACATGTACACATATAAATATAACATTACTATTTAAGTGGATTATTGGCTGGTTAAGGAGGCATAAAATAAATATAATTTACCTCCTATATTATTGTATTCTTGACTATTTCTGGAATTAAAAAAAAAATAATCACATTTTCATATTTGTGCATATGTTATCAGTATTTGAAAATTTAAAAAAAAAGAATAATTCATTTGATTATTATTTTATTTCTAAATTCAATGTTTAAAAGTTTTTGTGTCTCATTGAAAACTAATTAAGTGCTGTAGTTAGCACTGCGCTCTTTACAATTTAATTAATAGAACAAGGCTTACATTGTGTTTGACCGCGTCTTTGATGTTTCCTCTTTTTTAATTCCTAAATACATATAAACATAAATGATATTGTTAAATAAGGTATCGTTCTTTTGATTTTAAATTTTCTTTCATATTATTTAAAACGAAATGTCTACACGTCCGGCGTGCGGACAAATAGTGCCGGAGATATGCATCCGGCGGGCATGTCACAAGACATTTATTCAAATGCTCTGAGATACACAAGTGTTTGACTTTGAATATCAAACTAATCGGCCCATAAACAAACTAGTAGTACTATTACTACTACTACTACTATTACTAGTCTATTTGATTTCGACTCTTCAAAGAAAAAAAAAGTCCCTTATCTTGGTTAACATCTTGTAAAGCTCTACCTTAAAGTCTTAATGTAAAATATTAACTAAATAAAATAAGACAAGTAGACTTCAACAGACCGATGTCAATAATGTTGCGTTTCAGGATTAGTATTTAGTATTGCATGAGAAGAGGTTTAGGCTACCACTATATCGGCCCCATATTGAGCTGTAGGGTCTATTGTTTTGTGAACTATCGGCCTCTCCTTCTTAAACGTTATTATTTATCATCCTAACTATTATATTTTTAGCATTCGTATTTTTTTTGTACCGTAATTCTCTCTCCCTCTCAGCATTGCTTCCTTCTAGAAAGCATTATTGCTTAACCCCTACTTTATTTTGGCAATATACCCAAGTATTTTTTACATTATTTGTTTTTAGGATAATCAGTAAATTACTTGGTAGAGAAATAGATTTTAAAATTAACAATAGTTTTGAATCATTCGCAGTCACTTGACAAGGCTGACGGACAAATTTCTCGTGCCACTTTGTTACGGCGGTCATGTGACGTGTTCGCCGGACAAATAGAGCGGGAGATTTTCTTTTGGCGAGCCGGACGTGTAGAGACTGCCTATTTGAAATGACTCAAATATTTAAAATATAATTCATTTAATAATGCATTGTTAAAACCTATATTAAAAAAAAAATACAACTATATTTGCTAGAATGTAGCCTAAAAAATAAAAAATAAAACAAATACTTCGTATATATTTATAACAAGTTAACAATTTCAAAGTTGGCCGCATATATTTATTATAAATATATGCGACCAACTATGAAATTGTTGGCCGCATATATTTAATATGTGCAATAATAAATTTAATCGTTTTCCGAAACCAATTTCAACTGACGGGAATACGTCTCTCTTTGGATTAAAAAAAATCATATAATTTTAAGAAATATATCATGTGCTTTAAGTAGTATGGTTATACCTAAGGCTTAAATAAAATAAAGATAAACAAACGTACTTGTCAAAAGGGAAAACAAATTCAGACTCTAGAAAGAATTAAACTGCTTACTCTCATTTCGTCTTATTATGACAATAGTTACACATATTATGAAAGCTGTTAGCCCCAGCCCGATTGGAACACCAACTGCGATCGCTGTAGAGTTGGTCTCAACTGGACTGTCTGTGAAAATTATAATAACATTGGTTGTATGCGTCTTTTTGTGAAAAGATAAGTCTTAGCGTTATTGCACCTATTTGAAAACTGATTTTTTTTTTAAATGTCAAATACTATAGGGTTATCGGATCACATCAAAGAGAGATCCGCTGGGACGAGCATATTAACAATGTATGTAACCAAGCAAACCAAGCCTTGGGGTTCTTAAGGCGAAATCTAAAGATTGGCAACTCCTGTGTGAAAGAAAGAGCATTTAAAGCCTTTATCTGTCCGATTTTAGATTATGCATCTTCAGTCTTCCATTTACCCAGAAGAGCATTGACAGGTTGGAGGCGGTCCAGCGACGAGCAGCTCGCTTTGTCCTAAACCGCTACAGGAATACCTCTATTGTTGGCAGCATGCTAGAAACACTAGGCTGGTCACCATTGGAGAAACGACGACGACAATCCAGGCTCTCCATGATGTACAAGATAAATAATGGGCGGGTCCACTGTTCCAGTATTAAACAGAAACTCATCCCTCTCCCCCAAAGACAGCGACGAGGCCATGACAGGCAATTCAGGCTCATACCAGCAAGAAGCCAGTATAGGAGCTGCTCATTCCTGCCAAAGACAATCAGGGACTGGAACCATCTTTCAAAAGGAACAGTTGAGGCGACAACACTAGACACATTTGTGTCTATTGCCTCAAGCCTTCAAACTCCTAGTGCATAATTTCCTCATCACCACCAGTAACAGAAACATTGCAAATCCCATCTACATGCAAAGGAGCCAAAATGATCAATAAATTGATCGTGGGCCCTTAAGATATAGAAGAAGAAGAAGAAGAAGTTGCTATTCAAATTGAGTTTAATCACAAAATATCAAGGTGTCACCTAGAATGCAGTAGCTTGACGTAGCTAGTAAAAATAAATGTTATAGCTTTATCCTATCTCAAATACTGCAAACGAATCATACAATCATGCATACAGATAATTTCCCTATCTTTTTCAACTTTTTTTTTTCTATTTAGGCTCTTATCTAAAGACCCGGATAAGCGGTAAAAATGATTTTTATATTATCCGTTTAAAAAATTCAACAGTAAATTATTACTTGCAATTGAAATTAAGTGCTGTTAATAATTTATAACTAAAATTTGGTGTGGATTTCAAAAAAATTGTATAAAAATATTAAATAAAACACATGAACTTGCTATTCTATTATTAAACGATAAATAGACATATATTATGTAATGCAAGGTAAAAGTTTGATTTATTTTTCTCTTGTTTGTTTTAAGAGAAAACAATTGTGAGTTATTATTTATTTTTTGATATTTTGAAAAAAGATTGAAACTATCAATAGTTTTAAAGACGTCTCAAGGTTTGGCCTACACGTTTAGTGCCTGGAGCCAGGGGAGAAGGCATATAACTAACTATCAATACGGTTATTAAGTGACATTTATTGTATGTAGTTAAATTTAACAATAAAATAATTACAGGTATATGTCTAAATCATAATATGTGTATATGTTTATTTACAGTTAGAAGAATGCTGTTATTAAACGTATTATGTATGTGCTCGTTAATTATAGGGCAATGTCATAGGTGTAATATTAATATTAATGTTGCTTTCAAAAGATAGATTTTCTTATGTATAATTGTATATATGCTGAAACAGTTTGAAGAGAAAAGATAAATTTTTTTATTATTCAAGTTTCATAGGTCTAACAATCTGAACAATATTGCTATCAAAGTGTAAAAAAACAAAGTGCTATTTATTTATCAGTATATCATAAATCATTTATGCTTTTATAAACAAGTCTACAATTGAAAAGAAAAGTAAACTAATAGCAAACATATTGAAGAACATTAACATCTAAATAATATCTATATCCATTATTTGCTTCAAGTTATGTGTACATAAGAAGACTTATGTTATGAAACATGTTCTTAATAAACATTTTTTTTTAAATATTAAGAGAATAAAATTTTTAAAGGTTTCTTAACATTTAGATGAATGAGATTATTAAAGACAAAAATTTAGAGTATTTTTGTCTTATATGTCCTTATATGGGAGTAGAAAAATATATCGATTTCATAAATATACTTATGATGGAAATTGATAATTTCTGGAGCCAATCTTTTAAAAGTATATGGTGTCTTAAAATAAAAACATTATTTAAAACACATTACATGAATTTTATCATCAAACCTGCAGTTTCTTGGCCAGTAGCCTGGGAACTTGAAAAAGTTGTCGAAATCTTCGGTGTTGTTGTAGTGGTTGCAGTGGTTGCAATGGTTGTAGTGCTTTTAGCAGTTGTAGCGGTTGTAATGGTTGTAGATCTGGGAACTGGTCAGATCATGTTTAAAAAGAACATCAAATTTGGTGAAACATGTTCGAAATTTGCAAATCAAAATGTAAAGTTACATTATCCAAGTATATACAGTGTCAGTGTGAGTTTGTTAAAATAAACTGACTGCCTCGTTGCACTAAAAATTAAATAGTTTCTATTTAAATTAAGATACATTTCTCCCTTCAGTTAAAATAAAACCTGTATTTAAGTCTAGAATACCGAGTATATACTTTAATGAGGAAAAACCAGTCAAAGCTTAAATGCTTTGTACAATTTGGGTATACCAACCAGAAAACAATAATACTCAAATGTCTTTATAATTATTATATTTGCAATATTTTTAGGTGCAACTTTTTAAAGAGGACATTTTTTAAAGGAATTAATACAAATTTAAATATAGCAAAATCTTAGTAGAAAATTGACAGGGGAATGGATGTAACAAGATTAAAACTTCTGCCTGAATGTGTTTATAAATTTGTGAATATTAAACATTTTATGATGTACTTTGGATATTTTATTGCTTTCTTAACATCATTACTTGAGTAAATATTGAATCCTTACAAGAAAACTGGATAACATATTTAAAATAATAAAAACATATTTAAATCAATTTGTAAGAATGTCCAGATCAAATTGTACGCTTGTCATCCTTTCTTTGTAAGAATGTCCAGATCATATCTTATGCCAGCCATCCATTTCTTGTAAGAATGTCAAGATCACTTCTTACGCTTACACATGGCATCCTTTCCTCGTAAGAATGTCCAGATCACATCTTACGCCTGGCATCCTTTCTTTTTAAGAATGTCCAGATCACATCTTACGCCTGGCATCCTTTCTTTGTAAGAATGTCCAGATCACATCTTACGCCTGTCATCCTTTCTTTGTAAGAATGTTCACATCACTAATTACGCCTGGCATCCTTTTCATGTTAAGAATGTCCAGATCACATCTTACGCCTGGCATCCTTTCTTTGTAAGAATGTCCAGATCACATCTTACGCCTGGCATCCTTTCTTTGTAATAATTACCTGATCACATCTTTCGCCTGGCATCCTTTCCTTGTAAGAATGTCCAGATCACATCTTACGCCCGGCACCCTTTCCTTGTAAGAATGTCCAGATCACATCTTACGCCTGGCACCCTTTCCTTGTAAGAATGTCCAGATCTCATCTTACTCCTGGCATCCTTTCTTTGTAAGAATGTCCAGATCACATCTTACGCCTGGCATCATTTCCTTGTAAGAAATCCAGATCACATCTTACGCCCGGCACCCTTTCCTTGTAAGAATGTCCAGATCACAGCTTACTCTGGCATCCATTCTTTGTAAGAATGTCCAGATCACATCTTACTCCTGGCATCCTTTCTTTGTAAGAATGTCCAGATCTCATCTTACTCCTGGCATCCTTTCTTTGTAAGAATGTCCAAATCACATCTTACGCCTGGCATCCTTTCTTTGTAATAATTACCTGATCACATCTTTCGCCTGGCATCCTTTCTTTGTAAGAATGTACAGATTCACATCTTTCGCGTGGCATCCTTTCTTTGTAAGAATGTCCAGATCACATCTTACGCCTGGCATCCTTTCCTTGTAAGAATGTCCAGATCACATCTTACGCCTAACCTCCTTTCAGTATTTTGTTTTCTTAAGTGACGGATTTATTTATGTTTTCTATTCAAGGAAGAATGTGTCTGCTCTTGTTTTATTCAGAAAAGTACTACTAGGTTAATATTAACACACCATGCGATCTTTATCAAATTAATGTGCTGTCATAATTCCGTATTTCCTTCAATTTTTTTTTTTTAAGTAATGACTATCGTGGTATTAGGGAGTGACAAATCAAGTTTTGAAATCGCACACTGATCAAAGGCGTAATTTACAGTTACTGATTTGTTGATAGAGAAAGTTTACAGTAGTCTTGAAATTGATGGTGTGTAAAAATGAAACAACATAATTATTTTTTTAACATAATATGATTTTGTAAGTCTCAACACCTTTATGCCTATATCAGATCACAGAATAAAAATTGACCAGCACTGAAACTCTTTCATATCAAAATCTTATAACAGAGAAGAGTAGTCCATCACTGGATCCTTACTATAACAAATTATATTGTTTAAAAATCTTTAATGAAAACTTGTTCCCACACATTCTTTGACAAATTGTAAATGAATAATGATGAGGGAGTGAACCTGTTAAAAACCCACAGAAATTGTGACATATTACAAAAAAAGTTAAATAAATGTGTATAAAGTAATCCAGTAAGTCAACAAATAAAAAGGATGTTTTAATTGATCTATACTATAATAAACTGATGTATTTTAAATAGTTAGGTGATACATACAAACGTTTACTGAGACTTGAGATGCAATGGAATTATTCACATCTCTGACATTGTTTGTAGCAGTGCAACTAGAGGAAGATAAAAAAATTACATTGTGAATATTCTCACTTACAACAAAATAGTAAAATTAGTAGTTGATCAACCCAACATTATCATAATCATCCAATCATTTCTCATATACACACAAACATGGTAATCAACATTTTAAAAAAAAAACAACAAGTCACCAATGGAAAGACAGAAATAAGAGAGACTGGGCAAAATGTTTGAAATCACAGTATACTGCTCTAAAGTGTGGAAAAATATAATTCCTAAAAGAAATAAAGAAGACCTGGTTACCCAGGGACTGCTAAAATCGTACAATATCATATCAAAATCGTTCAATGCAATATCTTAATAGTAAATACATAAACGCACATAACTATTCGCAACGCGTGCCTAGTGGTATCCAGTTAAGCTGACGTCTTTAGCCAGAACATGGCTTACTGACGTTTATATTGCAATATCCGGTCCCTTTGTTTTGAAGACGTGTATCTGCTATAGACATAAATTAATATTTAAGGGTACGGACTGATCACATTATGATTGTAAATGAGAATAATGTTGCGACTTAACTATTTTTAAACCTAAATTCAGACAAAAAATAAAATGTATTGACATAAGAATTAATTAACAAGATTCGAACGCCATATACAAAACCAATCAAGTAACATTTTTTTAGGGGAAAAAGCTTTGTTTTAAATTTTAAAGCAAATCAATCATAATGCATATCCATTAAGTGTAATGCCCGTTAAAATAATATAGTCTGATAACTACCACACGCTGTAAGCGTGTGAAAGAAGATGAGTGTTGGACAAACTTCTTGGTACAACTGTTTTATACATTCTTAAAATAGATTTCTACCGAGTTCTCAGGCCATATATGTTGAACTCAAATTTTGCTGTTCGAAACAAGTTAGGATTAAAAAAAAAATTCCATTTGTGCACACTGATTAAGCCAAACGAAATCATTATGTCACAAAATTAAGTCAAACATCATCGAGGTAATGATTGGGTAAATAGATTTAAATAGCTAAAAATACTGTTGCGCCGTTTAGCGAGTCATTATTAATACCCAAATCAACAATTAGACAGCATCATTTTCATCATGAAATCCTGGCAGTGTTTTTTCATATACTTAAATATTTAAACCCTGTCAAATTCATGTTTCTACTAGATTGGTTAATGTATCAAATTTTTTCATGAGTTGTAATAGGTTGTACTTGTATTGAATCAACTCAAGTCCTTTACCACAATAAATGAAACTTTAATATCTAGTTATATACACAAACTGTAAACGCAGTACAGACTTGCATAGCGTACTTCGATTTCATAGGGAAACAAAACGCAACCTCTTTTCATAAAGTTTCTTTCAAGACTCCCATACGAATAAAACGTACATCACAAAACTTGCTAGCCAATACCTCATACATAGCATAAAATTATGTCACCAACACAAGCACGGGAAGAGCGTTCACTAACTTATCAATCTCTTAAAGGAACAACGAGAAATGAAACGTAATTTTAAGTAATGAATTACAATACTCGACAGACCTTTACCCCGTGCACAAATCCATCTAAATTACACCTATTCATCTCCCACCATTGGACAACTAAATACCGAAATGTATTTTTGTTTCATTTTTACATCGTAAAAATTACTTGTTTGCATACATTTTCAACCCGGTCTCTAAACATGGTATTTCCTTCAGGTCTTGATTGGGATAAAATCTTAAAAGAAATCCCGAAATGTTACATTTGGAAGTCAAAATAATAAAATTAATTATGTGTGAATAAATAATCGAACAGTATCAACCTACCTGTAGATTCCCGAATCCTTTGTGGCACTAAGGTTATTTAATATCAGTTTGTTAGTGAGCCCTTCTTGGACACCATTTAATAATCTATTTGCATTGCCAACTTGCCGCCATGTATAGTTGGGTTGTGGGTTGCCTTCTGCCTGACAGGTGAGTGTCATAGTACTGCCTTCCTCAACATCGGACTGGGGAATTCTGTTTACTATCATTTGGCTAGATGCATCTGAGGGAAAAGAAGAAATTGCAAAAATTATTTTGGTCTTCAAGGATTTTATACAAATGATACAATATAGTCTAACAATTTAATCAGTTACAGAAATGTGTAATCTTCAGTAAAATGATTCAAAATATCGATTGTCCAAAACAGGAGTAAGCAAGCTTTTTTATTTGGGAGCGCAGCATGATAAGTTTCGAGGAAATTTGAGTCCTTCAATTAGAGTTCAATTTATAAAAATTGAGAAGTAATTGTTCGATTCCACAAACAAATCATAATTCTTACAGAGAATGTTCAAAGGTTGAGATTGAGCACACAAGTCTGTTCCAGGATTATCACAAAATGGAGGTGCGATTTCCTGAAAGTCTTTGTTGGTAGAAAAGCAAGCCAAGGTGATATTCTGTTTTGTCCTGTTGACCTGGATAGTCACAGTGCTTTCAACAGTAAATGTACAACTGTTGTCATCTGGAGAGTATGTTCCATTTCAAAAGATTAATTTATTTATGTACAATTATTGTCATAAATCTATTTATGTTTCTGTCGCAAAGGATACATGAAAAATATATATTTGTTATGTATGTTACGTTAGTTGATTTCTAGGATGATAATTTGTAAGCAAAATTTAAAGTTTTTGGGTTCCTATTGTAATTGTTTTGACCGTTTGAACAAAATTTTTTTTAAAAAAAGTATTTAATTATTTAGTCATAATTATTATAGAATTTGGAAGTAAACGTCAAAGACTAGCGAAAGGGATCAACATTTGGAGACGTACTCAAACATTTAAAAATTAATTTAAGTGATCAGGGAGTAAAATACATAGTAACTGTTGAGACCCGCTGGTCCTCACCTTTGTGAGACCGGCTTGCTCACACTCGCCCCATCGCTACTCCTCGTGATATTACATAATTAGGCTGGGTCTGATATGAATAACATTTTACAGTACATGCCATCAATAGCAATTAATTAACTTACTACTTGTTTCCTTTAAAACTGGTGTGAAAGAAAGCTCAACTTTCTGGCCGTTAACGTAAGCGTTCCACACAATTTTGCCTTTGTTTGGACGTCCCAGATTGGCCAGGCATTTGTATGAGATAGATGATCCTTCCAATACTTCAAGAGACGGTGGTTGCGTCATCACTGGCACTTGTGGAGGAACTAAATGGATCAAATAGTTTGTAACGTTAAATTGTTACATCAAAGATGTTCTCCTGAATGCAACGCGCAACAAAAAAAAAAAAAACTTTTTTTTAAAAATTAAACAATTTAAAAAAACAAATTTTGATCAGTAAACTTTTAAAATAAAACAAAAGTAACAATGTTATCTTACTTTTAATGTCAAGCAGACGTCCAGTTGAATTCTTATTCATCGCCACATTGTATGAACTGTAATTCATCCGACATATATAAGTGTCTATATCTGAGCAAGAGATGTCCACGATTGCCATTGTTAAAGATGTAAATGTATATGTAAAAAAAAGCCGAGGATGCAGGTCAGGGCCACCTGTCACAAATACTTGTTCCGGCAAATAGTATATAAATAGCTTTTTACTCCGCGCCACTACACTTAAGTTCAATCTAAAATCTGAATTGCCACTAAACCAATCACATCTAAAAGTGGCAGTGGTACCAATCCCTCCATTAGAAACGTAATCAAGACGATCTGTTATTTCCAAAGAGTTCATTCTTGAAATCAACCCACCTGAAATAGAACGTTTATGTTAATCGATCAATTCAAATATTTTGAGACACAGAATATAAATTCTTGATGAAATGTGTCCTATTCATTTATATGGCACTGCAACACAAAAAAAATGGTTCTCTCATTTCTTAAAATGAGACGCACCTCTTATGATTTAAGTTGATGTTGATCTGATGGACTTTACTCTGTTTTTTTCAACATCATTTCATCATTGTTTCAAGTAAGCATTTTTAATAGTCAGGTTATTGACAGTTTGACAAGCTTTTTCTTATTTATCTTGCAACAAAATGTATAGTCAGAATTAGGGATACATTTTAAACATTAAAGCACATTTTTTTTCCTTATTCTATGATTTAAAAAAAGAAAATATGAGCCCTCACTGACTTGAAATGATAACAGTAAGTCAATTATTTGATTTCAATGTTGTTACATTAATTTCACTAATTTATATTTGCAATTCTTTTTTTCATCTTGGATGATTCTCAAATATATCCGATAAAACCAACGCTTTTTGTTCGACAGCATATTTCTTGGAAATCATGGAAATATAAAACATGTTTTGCGAACTTGTCATTAGTCGGTTTTTTTTACCCGCCATTTATTTACAACATGTCGGATAGTTTGTTTACAAGATGGCGTATCCTTTGTTTACATGGTGCCGAATTCTTTGTTTACAAAATGGATGTTCCTTTGATTAGAACAAAGCGGATGTGTTTTTGATGCTGACAATGTCCTACAATTTAATTTAAATGCTGTTCATGACGATAAAAGTGCAATGATATGAGCCCAGAACACGTTTAACATATTAACCCCACATTGATGACATATCAAACATAATAAACAACACCAAACATCCTTTATTGAACAATTTTAGTCGGCTGTGTGGATTATACTAGAGATTTTTTTATTTAGGTCTTCAAGGATATTGATTCTATCTTTTTTTTTTTTTCTTTTGATCGCAGACAACTATTAGTAGAATAATATGTTTTATCATCTGGTCACTCTCATTTACATATTAATAAAACAACGTTACTTTTCGTTTGACCAATCTCTCAACAGCTGTAAGGTACTTCTCTATTTTACGCAAGATGTTACAGACAATTTGTTGCTGCTATATAATCTCTCAACAGATGTATGGTATTTCTCTATTTTTTGCTATATGTTAGAGACAATTTGTTTTTGTTATATATATATATATATATATATATATATATATATATATATATATATATATATATAAATACATATATATATTTATACGGAAAACATTGTTAGAAGCTATGTTTTACAAAATCATTCTTTGAACATAGTAACATTACGTAAAGTATGTGATGTTTTCATGTCTTAGAAATGAAAAACGCTGACATACAAAAGAATGAAGAGAAAGGTAATGAACGGATGTAACAATAGAACAGCGTTTTACATTTAATTACAGATTTTGTCTCCCTTATGCGACTGTCCCGATTGGCTGTGCCTAGAGAGCTTCAACTTACCATCAACAATAAAAAATGTTTTTTTTCAATTGTATTATTTTCTTTAGTTAGTTCTTATTAGTTCTAATTGCAGATTGTTTCTTCTGATTTGTTCTTTATTTGGTTAAAAACAAGGACGTTATATTGATAGGTCAGTCTGGGGCATTCACCTCCCCCCACCCACAAATTTTCTTTGAATGTTTATGCTTTATTTAAACTGCTTTGTACTGTTGTGCCTCCAGTAATAAACAACTTAAAAGCCCAACTAGTCTTGGTTTTGCCCCACAACCACTAAAAAACTGAAATGATGTCCAAACAATTTGAGGCTTTACCCAGAAAAAAACTAGAGGAGGCAACACCTATAAATAATCACGGTAGGTGGATTTCTTATGAAAATCAATTACAATGAGAGCAAATCAACATATAATGATTCGAAGTTCTACCCAAACAAATCAGTCGAGTGATGCATTATAATACACTATGAATAAGACAACATAATTACTAGCATCAGAAACAAGATGATTGCATAGCTAGAACATCAAAAAAGTCAAATGGTGAAAGAAATATGCAGAGGAACAGGAAACTTACCAATATATAAAATATCTTAAATGCAAATTAACATTTTTTGAAATATATTAAATAAAATCTGAGTTCATTTTTGCTTTTGTTTAAAGCAAAACTTAAACATTTTCCTAGCATTTCTAAATATAACAACCAATAAAAGTAAGTTTAGCGTACAATTCCTAAATAATGGAGCCTTTTGGGGAGGGGTTGGGCTAAAAAGTAAACAAAACATGCATACAAATTAATGCAATTTTATATATAGTACCCTACCTACCCCCTAAGGCTCCCAACCACACATTTTATCACGTACCTGCACTTTATGATAATCCTAATATTTTGCACCGCAGATTTACTTCACACAATATTTGAAATTGTTATAATATATATTTTAATATATATCATTTAAAAAGAAACACACTTGAATGACGTCCCTTTGATGAATGTCGTAAAATTGCGTATACTTTTATTCGTTCAAAAAAAAAATAAAATTACTTGCAAGTTATTCATTTATTTCGAGTGGAAATTTAACGGTACATTTTAATAATACCCCTCTATTCTTTAAAAAACGAAATATTAAAATTTACAAACATATGTTTCTTAAATGAGAAAACAATCTGCTATCAAATGAATCAAGAATTTAAAAAGAATAATGCAAACTCTTTTGGATACGTAATTAGGGCCGGTAGTTGACCTGGGGAACCCAATATGCTATGGATGACTCTGCCATCAGTTTAAGTTCTACGTGCGTTCTAGCCTCGTTCTAAAATAACGGCCAAACGAAGATAGTAGATCTAAAAATGAATTTATACAACTGATATTTTTTTTTAGTGTTTTATAATTTGGTATATAGGGCCAGGTCTAGTGAATATATTTAACGGCATATAACTTCTGGGGTTATCCATTAATGATCCTTTACATTATTTTAGCAAACCTTATTCCTTTACATTAAGTGCCCCAAATCTTCCAAAATGCACGTTGATACATACTCTTAAAATTATTCATCATCATAAATTTCTCACCCCTTCGCTACAAAATAGATGCTAGACTCATTTAATATTTTGATTTGAAAATGAGCAGAGGCATAACTTAAATTAAATATATATCCCCAGTTACCCTAGAGCTTACCCACAAAACTTACCCCAAGAGCTTAAACCAAGAGCTTGCCGCTAGAGCATACACCCAGAGCTTATACATAAATCCTACCCCTTGAGCTTACCCCTATAGCTTACCCCTAGAGCTTACACCTAGAACTTACCCCTAGAGCTTACACCTAGAGCATACGCGTAGGGATTACATCTAGAGCTTACCCCTAAACGGGATTTAATTGTATTAAATAAATTATTGGGATGGGTACGCTGTCACGATCAGTCAAGAGACACAGTGTACAAAAAAATTGTTAGCCATGTGAAAGTTACCTACCCATCATTATAGCTGCAAAAAGTTTCCCAATGCGTGAAATATTGAAACGTCCCATTTCAATAATTAAAATACACAACGTCTTGTAATAAGAAGTGTTTCATGTGTCCTGAATTCTAGCGCGGATAAGACTGATCTGAGTCGAGATACAATGTTTAAATTCAGCCACTTTGAAGTACATTTCCGTGATCAGGTTTTATGACTGCTCGACCGACAATCCTTCAAGATGGGAAAGTTTCAGTCTGCTGTACTGGATGCGTGTTGGTCCATTTACCGTAAGGATCACACTCACTTTCCTTTAGCTTGACATTAATTCATTTAGATCCTTACGATGATAAATCGTTCTCAAACATAACTATTGATATGTTCAAAAATAACAAGATGTGTCAGTCCTTTTTCTTACCATTCATTTCTGGTATCTGGAGGTACATTAAATAATTTGTTTCAGTACTTACAGCAATGGAAAGAGGGTATTTAAAATGTTGATTTATTTTTCTTCCGAAATTCCAAGTATAGAGGTTTTTTTTTGCCCTTAAAAAGATCCAATGTAAAAAAAAAAAATCAGCACTGCCACTATATTATTTTAAAATAATGTATTTCTTGAATTACACACTAATATGATTCATGTAAGTGGCAGTTAACTTCTTAGGAACAATCGTAAGAACTTAAATAACACAAACAGGGCAAAAAGTAGTGACATTGTTTTCAGATGAGATTCAACTAACTTTTGGGAAGCTCTGGTTCAAGCATTAACAAAAACAAAACTCACGGAGATACTCTATCTAACCATTGCAAAACAATATTTTTAAATTATATATTTTTTTAATGAGAAAACCAACTAAATATGTGCACTGATTATACGATAGTATTTAAACTGCCTGCGTTTTAATACTGCGGGCATCGAATGTATAAGTCTTTTCAACATGCTTTCAATTTAACGTTGGAACCCATGATATCTTGAAAGTGAAGGTTTTATTTATCTTCGAAGGAACAAAGCTGTTTTAAGGGTAAATAGGTAGAATAATGTTCAGTAAGATTTTCAGGAACAATTAAGTTCCAATATGGCAATTTGAATGTTAACTTTCCCAATCCATCCTGGCTACTTGTTATTCTGGAGGATGATTTAATATATTGCACTTGATGAGGAAAAATATTTTCATTCAATTGTTCACATTATTGTAACAGCGTGTCCAAGAAATATTTTTAATCTTCTTGATTCTTGTCACACACACAATTGAGACTTATTTAAGTTAATGTATTATTCCATTTTGATAACTGTAATTCAATGAAAGTGATGCGCTTTCGCTAATGCATTGATAATTGGCATTCCAGTTTTATTTGATAAATACAGTTTCCATGTTAACTATATTATACATATGCTATGAAATAGATAATTGGAAATTCCACCCTGTGATGTAGACGACGTGTTTACGTCATTTTCCCCGTGCAGTAAACTCTGTTTCACTTCAAATTGGGCTGCGTTCGTATTTTGCGTGGCGTATTGCCTTTGATCTTGGCCTTGTTTACTTTCTCTAACGACTAAAAGTAATTAATATTTTTTAATAGAATTTTAGAGTAATTTCGGGAGTGAATGGAAAGGTAAACAATGGGTAAGTCGTTTCCAGATCTCTTGGTAGAGCATACGAGATATATTAAAGGGGATTCAGAGAGCATAGGAGGAGATATACATTTTTCACTTCACGAGATAAATGTATAGTATGTGTATACTCATATGTGTTTATTCTCAGTTATCATTGTACATTATTAATTGGCACATTGTTTTAGCTGTGTATCGATACAAGAACATTCCATACTATGTAAGTTGATGATTTTTAATTATATATTTTTTAAAAATATTAATCCATAGTAATTAAATACATCTTTTTTTTATTGTAATTAGTACTGTTTTGAGTGTCCTATTTTTACTATTACATTTCCCATATCGTATCGTCCTTTGTTATGTACATTTAAGAGCGAGCCATCAATTAAAAATAAGAGATTAGCTTCTCACAATAGAAAGCAGTGCGTAACAAAATTAAGTTGGTCGTCAGGAATATACCTAAATCCACATTTTTTATTTCTTACAAGTCCCCAATTTAACACATTGTTGGATCATACTTGGATATTTGAAGCCTTAACTTTTCTTATTACACCAATAATAAATTGAGTCCTTGTCTGTGAATATTGACCCACTTTTCACCTTAAAATACTCAGACTAAATTAAGTTCACTCTAACATTTTAAGATACAAATTCCTGATCTAGTTAAATTTTTTCTTTCAATTTAATTTTATTTAGTGGTGTCAATTAAATCAAATCTCTTTTATTATTTGGTCCTCAGAGTTGTAGACAGAGTGCATCGCACCCTATGACAAGATTCATTTATAATCTAACCTCAACAATTAAAAACTTGTTGTGCTCCCCTAAACTTAGTATTTCATCTGTTTATGTTTTCCCATTCTGCCACTCATAGCTACGCCTCTGGAGATTTTAAAAGCCTGCAGCATAGTGCAACAGTGTCAGGGTTATTTTTACGCTTTAGGTTAACCAATAAAATTGTTCAAAGCAACACTATTACTACGCTGCATTTCTGACATTATTGTATCCTTTATTGCCTTGTAAAACTTGAGTCCTCAATACACCCTTCGCGATACGAAACCGGAAACGTGCAATACGTGTTTTAAATAATGTTCAAAGAGGTGAAACTTGGGAGTTTCCTTTGTGCCGTACCATTGGCCAAAGGCGTAGCTATTGGGGGAGGGGCGGGGGAGGTCGAGGTGGAAATGTTCCCGGGCACCTGACTAACATTGCATTAAACGTGGGCTTGGTTAATTAAATGGAGGGAATAATGGATTTTATACTTCAAATTAAGGGGCGCTAAAATCAATCTTTTTTACCAAGGTGCAAATCATTCTAAATATGCATCTACCATGGGCGTAGAAAAGATGGGGGGGGGAATGGGATGGTCGACCTGTTTAATTGTATCATTGCAAATCAATTAATGTAAAAAATCCAAGTGCACACATATTCTTACGGCACAAATACTAGCTACGCCAATAGGCAGTGTATTTATCCAGATCAACATTGATTAAAATGTTTCAGGAAGTTTGCCAGAAATCTAGGTTGCGATGGTTATTTGGTATATTTTGAATTCATTCCTGTTATGGCGTTTCGGAAAGTTATCATTTGGCACAAACTTAGTTTGAACATAGCATGTAAAATTGGTCAGCTTAAATAAACTTGGGTCCATAATTAGACGATGCAAACAACTATCCAGAAAATTCAAAATGAAAGATGCATTTCGTCATTACTTGAATTCATTTCAACCAAACATAATGATGGACATATCTAAAACCTCTTTAACAAAATATAATTTAAATATGTTCAAATATTTATATAAATAAATGTCCCGAATGAACTCTAATTTAAATAGAGAAATAACAAATCTATATAAAAAATTAAAAAATACACAATTTTAAAAAGCTTAAAAATGTGTGTGTCAGTTTGTTCTTTCTTCTGATGTGGAAAAAATAAGTGTTTGTGAATTTAATAAAAAATTGGCACAGAAATAGCACGTTTAATTCAATCAAGATGATGTCAAGTAAATAATATTGAAACGTACACTACTTGTAGGAGTCCTTAAATTCTTACATTTTATTTTAAATTATATTTATTTTTTAATTTTAAAAAGTTGTTTTTTGTACTCATACATGTATTCGAGTTTAAAAAAAAAAATTGCTAAAATATCTATATTATCGAATTGTGTTATTGTTACACTTATTCATCATCTGATAAAAAATAACATTTTAAATGTTGAGAGACTTAAAATTAAAAATGTGAATATATTCTATACACTTTAAGTTAAATCTCAATAGGTAAATTTAGTTTGATATTGCGTTGTTCAAAACTAAAATATTTTGACATTGTAAAAAGATAAAATAAATAAAAATGCCGAGATATGCAAAGAATGGAAGAAATATTTCTTTTCAAGCCATGCTACTCTAGTAAAGTTTATGATGCATGACATGTGAACAGTTGTCGAGTTTTTTTTAACACACTGACAAGGAAGTATTTGGATCTTTTTTTCCGATTATAACCATATTTTGCACTGACTACTATGGACAAATGAAATCATAGTAGGCGCCCAACCCAATTTTTAGTTTAAACGGATTATAATTGAAGATTTATCTATATCTCAATTCTTAAATAAATATATTTGTGGAAAAAAATGCAATTGCAAAATTCCCCATCACTTTAAACAATTTCAAAAAATCAATATACTTTAGTAATTATTCCCAAATTAATTCAAATTTAAATTACATTAAGAGCAGCAAGAGACTGTCAAAGCGAGTAAAGACGGGATTGGGAGACGTTAATGACCTAGGTTTTGAACGTGTCTTGGATTGATCGACGCGATTGAATTCCTCAGCTTTTAGTCCCGTTCACTAGCAAATTGTTTCTTTGTGCAATCCTCCAGGCCAGACTTCACACGCTGCCGAGTACGAGCTATCTTTAACAGAGACTTGAAATCGTGTGTCTACTGTTAAACAAGTTTTGCCAGCTAGTCGAAGCCAGAATCCCTTGTGTAGTAGCAGCATTTTATACAGATACTTGGATTAAGGGGTTAGAGCTAAGCAAAATTTGTCGGTCAAATAGTGATTAGCTACACATAGGCTTAGTCTTCTGTACAATCAAAGGTAATAACGCTCCAATCATATGCCCCATACACAATAGTGTCGTAGGGCAAAGGTTTTCATTAACTAAACTAAAAGAAGACGCACATCACACAATAAAGATCCACATTCTGTATGCAACTATTGCTGGTGAATATCCGTGGTCGACAGTTAACAACGGACATTAAATAATTTAAAATAGATTAATACTTTTTACATCGTTTACTTTAATGTTTTTAAGAAAAAGAAAATAGTTTTAATCATTTCAGACCGAAAGCAATTATTGTATCGCGATCATAGTAGTCTCTGAAGCCATTTTTGTTTCCCTTGACTTAAAAGGATACTTTGAATAAAACGGTGCGCCTTATCAACATTGGGAACAAAGGACTCTTGTAAAACAATGAAGCTTCAGCTTGGTGGTAAAAAAGGAAAGGAGAAAACAAACGCTGGAACAAATTGCTTGTTTGGTTGAAAAATGAACA